CCCCCCCCTTTTGCCCCTTAACCCCATAAATCCCCACAAACCCCTAAAACCCCCTTAAAACCCCATAAAACCCCCATCACTCTCTGACCCCCCCAGACCCCATAAACTCCCCAAAATCCCCATCACTCTGTGACCCTCCCTTTTCCCCCTTAACCCCATAAACCCCCATTTCCCTTTAACCCCCCCAAAACCCCCCGACCCCCCTAAAACCTTCCCCCCAACCCCATTTCCTCCAACCCCTCGGGAAGAACAAAACCTCCTTTATTCCTTTATTTCTTCGGGAATAAAACCCTTTCCCAAGGCACAGTGGGATGGAGAGGGGTGGGATGAGCCCCCCCGGGGGGTCTGTGGGGACCCCAAAAGCTCAGGGGGGTCTGGCACCTGACCCCAAATGTCAGAGGGGTCTGTGGGGACCCCAAAAGCTCAGAGGGTCTGGCACCTGACCCCAAATATCAGGGAGGGTCTGTGGGGATCCCAAAAGGTCAGGGGGGTCCGGCACCTGACCCCAAAATGACAGGTGGGGTTTGTGGGGACCCCAAAAGCTCAGGGGGGTCTGAGGGGACCCCAAAAGCTCAGGGGGGGTCCGTGGGGACCCCAAATCTCTGGGGGGTCTGTGAAGACCCCAAAAGCTCAGAGGGTCCAACACCTGACCCCAAATGTCAGGGGGTCCGACACCGGACCCCAAAATGTCAGAGGGGTCTGAGGGGACCCCAAAATCTCAGGGGGGTCTGTGGGGACCCCAAAATCTCAGGGGGTCCAACACCTGACCCCAAATGTCAGAGGGGTCTGTGGGGACCTCAAAAGCTCAGGGGGGTCTGAGGGGACCCCAAAATCTGAGAGAGTCCGGCACCTGACCCCAAAATCTCAGTGGGTCGGGCATCTGACCCCAAAGCTCAGGGGGGTCTGTGGGGACCCCAAAAGCTCAGGGGGTCTGGCACCTGACCCCAAATATCAGGGGGGGTCTGTGGGGATCCCAAAAGCTCAGGGGGTCTGGCACCTGACCCCAAAATGACAGGGGGGGGTTGTGGGGACCCCAAAAGCTCAGGGGGTCTGACACCTGACCCCAAATG